TTGGGCTTTGCTTCTGTGAAGACTGACAGCCTTGGAGACCCTGTGGGCAGTTCCACTCTGTCCTCTAGGGGCGCTGTGGGTCAGAATGGACTCCACAGCAGGGGGTGTGGTTTGGGCTTTGCTTCTGTGAAGATTGACAGCCTCGGAGACCCTGTGGGCAGTTCCACTCTGTCCTCTAGGGGTTCTGTGGGTCGGAATGGACTCCACGGCAGGGGGTGTGGTTTGGGCTTTGCTTCTGTGAAGACTGACAGCCTTGGAGACCCTGTGGGCAGTTCCACTCTATTCTATGAGTTGGAATAAACTCGGTGGCACATGATAACAACACACACACACAGCTGTTGTAGGGCCTTAAACCAATTCCCACTCATTGTGATCCTACAGAACAGAGAAGTGCCCTGTAGAGTTTTCTTGGCCACAGTCTTTATGGAAGTAGATCAGGGCTTTCCTCCCGCGGAGCCACGGTGGCTTCAAATTGCCGACCTTTTCTGGTTAGCGGCTGAGTGCTGAACCACCACACCAACAGGGCGCTCCCTGACGGGCGTGTGCTCAGTTGTCCTCACTCCCTCTGCCTCCCTCTCCCTCCCTCTTCATCTCTCTCCCTTTCTCCCTTTCTCCCTCTCCCCCTCCCCCTTTGTCTCTCTCCCTCTCTCCCTCTCTCTCTCTCTAATTCAATTACCAAGCACAGCTCTTACAATCAGCTCTTACAATAAGCTGCTGATCCCTTCCTTGCTGCCATGGTGCATGCTGTGGGCACCCAGCCTGCCTGGGGTTCCAGGCTCAGCCCTGCTGATGCTGCCCCTCTCCAGGAGCTGTGCTTGGCGGCACAGGCAGGTCCCCACAGGCTCTGCCTCAGCTGAGGGCCTTCCCTCTGTGCCCCTTACGGGAGATCCTGACGCTCCCCATCACCTGCCCGCCCTGGGCCTCAATTTCCACAGGAAACTGGGGAGACGAGGCAGTGACCACAGACCAGGGCCCTGCTGGGACCTGCAGAAAGCTGCCCTCCTCGTCTCCGTGACAGCAGACTAGAATCTTCCCACGACCCCTGATAGCCACCAGGGCCCACCGGTCTCTGGCCCATTCACTGTCCCAGTGTCTGGTCCCCCCTGACAACTCCTGCAGTCTCCGTTGCTCCGGGACAGACTCGGCATGTGGGGACCCCTGAGGAGTCACGTGGAGAGGTGAGCAAGGGGATCAGCGTCTTGGGCCATCTCTGAACTTGGGAGGAAAAGTCGGCAGCTTCCTGCCCACTTCTTTGGAGCGGGTGCCAGAGGGATGGGAGGCTAGGTGACCCCGGGACAGTCCTAACAGTCTCCAGAGACACAGTGGTGACTGTCCTCCAGTCCTGGCCTATATGCCCCCAACACTTCCTTCTTTCCTGATGGGTGGTCGCTCACCAGGGGCAGGGATGCCTTGGAGGCCAGACCCCAGGGCAGAGGTGGGCACCGGTGAGAACACAGAGCCCGGAGCCTCTGGAAGCTCCCAGATGGTGCCAAGCAGGGAGTACTGGGCATAGCCCCAGGGCAGCTGCTCTGCCCGCCCCACTGGGGAGAGGCCCCATCTGGCAGAAGGACCCCACAGGGGCCTGAGATACACAGGTTGGGGCCAGGGCCCCGCAGTCTGTTCCATCCAGTGAGCACAGTTCCGTGTGGAACCTAGGACCAGGAAGTCAGGAACGGAGGAAGAGGAGGTCAGGCCCAGGAGGTCAGCCGGCAGACTCGGTGACAGGTGTGTCCCCAGAGAGATGGCAGGTAGCTTGCCCATTAGGAGCACGGACCCTGGAGCCCAAACTCCCCTGGGCCTGGCCTGACCCTATGCTCCATGCCTCTGTTCACTCTGTGGTCCAATGGGGAGAGGGGAGCCCACCTCCTGGGCCTGTCCTGCAAAACAGGGCTAGCTGTGCAGCTCAGTGTGGGCTGGAATCAACGTTCGGAGAGGTGGGCCGCCGCCCAGATCATCCTGCAGCCTTGGGATGTATGTGTCCAGCAGAGAGCCCCCCACGTGTGCAGCCAGAGCCCTCCAAGTGTCCAACAGAGAGCCTCCCAGGTGTGAACCACAGAGATTCCCAGGTGTGCAGCCCGAAGCCCCCCCACACCCCCATGTGGAACAGAGAGCCCCACCCCCAGCTGTGCAGCACAGAGCCCCCCAGGTGGGCAGCAGAGGGTCCTCAGTGTGCAGAAGAGAGGCCGCTGCACCATGTCGCAGGTGGGCCAGGTGGGCCAGGAAGCCCTCTCCCAGGGAGGGGCTGGAACTCTGCATAGGGCTGCTCCTTCCATGGACAGCAGGCTGACCCGGCGCCCTCCCTGCCCCCACAGGCCGTGTGGCAGCTCGAGGAAGGCAGGTCAGAGGGGACACATACTCATGACCAGGGTGGCGTGGCAGTCTTGTTTGTGGAACTCGCTCCAGGCTCTCGTCTTGCACAGCTTGCTGCAGGTCAGGATGCTGTAGCAGCGGGGGCAAGGTGAGAGGCGCACCCCGACCGAGCGGCCACAGTGGCAGCAGAACTTGAAGAAGGGGATCCTGCAGGCAGAGCAGGAGGTCAGTGGTGCCTGCCTCGTGGTCCCTGCCGACCCCAGGCCCCTGCACAGGGCACAACCAGCTACATGCCACTGCTCCCATCAGACTGGGTGGCAGTGCCAGTCCCCAGCCAGCCCCAGGCCCAGGCCAGTGTCCTGTGGCCAGTGGTTGGTGAAGGTCTGCTTGCTGGTACATGCGTAGAAGACCTGAAGGTACCCGTCCCAGGGACGCTCAGCCCAGAGCTATGAGAACAGGAACATGCACAGAGCCCCAGAGCCTAGCCAGTCCACTCATGGGGCCGCTTACTGGCACAGTGATTAAGGAGAAAGATGAGGCAGTCTGCTTCCATAAACATTGCAGCCTTGGAGACCCTGTGGGCAGTTCCACTCTGTCCTCTGGGGGCGCTGTGGGTCAGAATGGACTCCACGGCAGTGGGTGTGGTTTGGGCTTTGCTTCTGTGAAGATTGACAGCCTTGGAGACCCCCTGGGGCAGTTCCACTCTGTCCTCTAGGGGCACTGTGGGTTGGAACTGACTGGGAGTGGGTTTTTAAACAAGCAATGCCCTTTCCATTCTGGGGACTGCCATGCTGCCACAAACACTGGGGCTTGTGTGTGAACACTTGTGTGTGTGTATAGCTGGGCTCCACAGGGTGTGCATGTGCATGTGTGCATGCACTTGTGTACATGTGTGTATGTGTGTGCATGCGTGTGTGCGTGTGTGTGCATGTATACTTGTACACACACAAACATTGCACGTGTGCCTGAGTGTTGACTATCCCACGGACGCCCAAAGAGCAAACCTATCGGCCAAGGAGGAAGCACGGCCAAATGCCTCTTAGCTGCAAGGATAGTGAGACTTTGTCTCCCGTACTTTGGACACGTTGTCAGGAGGGACCGGTCCCCGGAGAAGGGGACCTGCAGCACACAGTGACAACCCACGCTTGGTAAAGGCCAGGGCCAGTGAAAGGAGGAAGACCTTCCAGGAGGTGGATGGACACAGTGCCCACACCAAAGGGCCCACACACAGCAATGGCTGTGGTGCAGGGCCAAGCAGGGTTTCACTGCATCGCACACGGGGTAGCCGTGAGTGGGAACTGACTCGACCCACCAGCACCAACAACGGTTGTTACAGAAGCAGACTGCCGCCCTGTTCTCCCTCAGGGCAGCTGGGAGGTTCAAACCGCCAACCTTCAGGCTGGCAGTCAAGTGCCTGAACACTGCACCGCCAGGCCTCCCTGCAGACGTGCTTGGAGCAGCAGGAAATCCGAGCACACGCTCTCGGCTCGGGTCTCACAAAACAACCCTCTCTCATTTCAGTTCTCAGGCCGTGAGCACGCGTCCTTTCTGTGGTGGGTTTGCTGCCCCATTTTCATGGCTTTTTGTGCCACTGATGAATAAGTTGCTATTTAATGGCCCATGCATAGTGTGGAAGCCCTGTCTGCATTCTGGAATACAGGACGGTATGAGCTGCTTCACTTGGAAAGCACCTGTTAGCACAAGTTACAGCCCTGCTGGCCCTGAGCTCCGTGGCAACAGGTCCATGACGCACCACCAGGAAGGGGTCTTTAAACAGAAACACATCAAGCAAGGCTGTGTACTGATCACTGTGACCAGAAGCTCGCCGGAGCCCAGCCCCGTGTTCCCCGAGAAACAGCGGTCTGCTAACTCGTGTTTCTGGTAGTTCTACAGAACACACGGATGAGGAATAAGGACGTTTCCGAAATGTTGTCGGTGCAATCCAGTCTGTTCAATGAAACACACAGATTTCGGCTCCTGCGAGCATCGTGAAACCTCTGCCAGCTGACCGTACCCCACCTGGGGAGTTCTAAGAGTGGGGCGTGCTGTGCCCCGGGTATGGGCCCTGCAGGAAGGCCCCTTCCTGGCCCACCCAACTGTGAGGCCCCGTCAGGCCAGAGAACTGAAAGAAGAATCTAGAATCAGAGACTAAGGCCAAGGAGGCCTGGTGGCTCAGTCGTTAAGCACTCAGTTGCTAACTGGAAAGTCAGCAGTTCAAACCCATCCAGCTGCCCCAAGGACCAAAGGCCTAGTTGTCTGCCCGGGTAAAGATTGCAGCCTAAGAAACCCGAGGGGGCAGCTGTACTCCATCACCTGGGATCTCTGAGTCAGAATCAATCCACGGCACCCAACCACAAGGCAAGGTAGCTGACGCCTTTTGCCTGATGGCTTCCCTGGCCCCACCATCCCCTCTTGTGTTTCTTAGGAAATGGGTGGGGACAGCACAGAGTTAGGACGATGTGGCTAAGAGGGTGCCCACCGGGGAGCCTGAGGGTGTGTCAGGGAGCCTGAGGGCCAACCAGGGAGCCTGAGGGCCCGTGGGGGCAGGACTTCCTGCTCTGGGGAGGGCCATGCATGTGGGCAGTGCCCTCCTGTCCTGACATGCCCGCTGCATTACGGTCACTTGGTCTTCCCCAGTCCTAACAGGCATTTTGTGCAGTTCCGTTTTCTCTTAGCCAATCGTTTTTTGTGCAGTTCCGTTTTCTCTTCTCTTAGCCAATCGTTTCCCTTGTAGTTGCTGGCTGCCGTTGAGCCCATCGGACACACGGCAGCCCTGTGTTCCAGACCACAATTGCTCTGGCGGGTCTTCTGGGCCGGAATCAATGGAGCCGACTCGCTGAGACCATCATCCGGAGTACTGCTGGGGGTATTTGAACCGCCCACCTTTGGGTTAGCAGCTCAGTGCAAAGGGTTTGGGCCACCCGGGAACCTGCAGCATACAGTGACAACCCACCGAAGCCACCTGTGGCCCAGACCCTAGCCCTGGGCCCCAGTGCAGCTCGAGTCGGGTGAGACCACCTGCTCAGCTCAGGTGGGCCAGTGCTGCCGGGATGGCAGGTGTCCCTGCCGGGCCCAGACCCCAGCTCCCAGTCCCAGCACCGCTGGCCCCACTTACTGCTGCAGCTCCTCTGTGTCCGGACCCTTGGATGACCCCAGGCCCTTCTTCTTCGTCTTGTGGCTGGGAGCCAGCTCCGCTGCAGAGAGGAGGGGGAGTTAGGCCTGGGGAGCAGAGGTCACGGCTCAGCCGCCTGAGTCAGACCACGGGCCACCGAGGTGCCACCTGCCCGCGCAGCCCGCAGCCAGCCCACCCGGGCTCAGCAGGGGAGGCAGCCTCTGACCACCCAGCAAACAATCCTGACACAGCCTCAGGGAAGAGGGGGCCGCTGCTGCAGGAGCCCTGCCTGGGCCAGCCATGGGGGCCTGTGGCCCCAGGCACAGCACAGCCTTGGGCAGATCAGCGATGGTGCCCCCATGGTGTCGTGCCCCCACCAAGAGACACTTGTGCTCCTTACCCCATAGCCCCACAGCACCCAGATCTCAGGGAGCAGCTGAGACTCTCAGGGGCTCTTGTAAAGGTGGAAACCCTGTTACATGCTACCAGACATAATGAGGGGCGCCGGGGCGGCCAGTACGGCTGTAGATCAGATCTGAGCAGTGCCAGCACCGCATGGATCACCGCGTGGTGCTCCAGGGACCGCCTGCCCCCCCGCCGGTACTCCTCACCTCTCTTGCTCAGGTACAGCAGCGTTGGGTCCCACTGGCTCTCCTTGGCGAGGACGGCACGGCGCAGCTGGAAGCCCATGTACTCCAGCAGCCTCTTCCGGGCCAGGAACGTCTCCCGCTCGGCCGGCATCAGTGTGTGGAAGGGGCAGTGGGCGATCTTCCGGTCCTGCAGTGGCCACGGGGTCAACACGGGTCCAGGACCCAGCCTCTCCTGCCCTGGAGGGCAGACCGCCCACTCCCAGCCTGCCCTGCAGCACCCATGCAGTCATGCCAGGGCCATTCCAAGAGGACAAACTCCCCTCAAGCCCATCAGGCCGGGGCCCAGGGCCCAGCCCACCCCACTCTGGAGAGCAGACCTCCCTCTAGCCCCACAAAGACCGGGCATCCCGGATTCCAGCCCCCGCTCAGCCACTTGGCAGGACACTTGGTGAGTTAGCAGATGGCATGCCTCTCCGGTGCCCATGTGACAAAGGTGCCATGAGGACATGCAGACCATGCTGAGTTCACTGTGAGCCCAGGGAGAGAAGGGTGCTGCCCTCTAAGCCCAGAGTTGCCGGGAAACACTGAAGGGTAGCCAGGGAGGCTGTGCCCACGTTGCACCCCCCCCCACCAGCACAAGCTGGGTGGCAAGAGTCCAAGCCACACCTGGAAGAACTTGAAGTACCCATAGTCGACAACTGTGCCCACAGCCACCTTGTCCCCCTGTGTGAGCTTCACGGGCCTCAGTATGTCAGCCCCACAGTTGATGAGCCGGTCAATCTGTGGAAACAAAACCCATGTCACTGCATGCCAGGAGGTACAGGGCCCTGCCAGGGAGAAGGTGCTCACCAGTTGTGCCTGCCCAGGACCCAAGCCTAGAGGGTCTCCACACCCACTCCACACACTCACTGGCTGGCCAAGGACAGACAACTCTGGTCACCTCCATCTCCCAGAGGGCTATCACTGCAGGCATTCAGGGAGCCACCAGACAAGCAGGGTAGAAACACCGGCTTCAGGGACAAGGACTGAGCCATGCTAATGACTGTCCCAGTGAAGTCATGATGAGGTCACTCTTTAAGGATATCCTGACACACACCTTGTGAGGTCTGGAAAGTGCAACACCATGCAGCTGCCCCTCTAAGCCCTGACCGCCGACTGCATTTGGTTACAACCCCACCATCAGCAACACAGAGGTAAACACCAGGCCTGCCTTTCCATGATCACAGCCCCGACACCTCCCAAAGGGTGCAGCACAGAGCCCCCCACTACTCAGCCCCCCAAAGGCTGACAGCCATTCCTCTGCACTTTGACCCCATACTGTTCTCTTCTCTCTCTGGCCCAAAGTCAAGAACCCTGTCATGAATGGAATGTGTCTCCTCCCTCTGACGTCATGCTGAAGCCCTAACCTGCCCCAGGAGAACTGATGTCATGCTAACACCCTAACCTGCCCCAAACGTGTCTTTCACCAACATCATGCTGAAGCCCTATCCTGCCCCTATAAATGTGACCGTTTGGAAACATAGTTTTCTTTGTTTTGTTAATGATGTCATGCTATCCCTTCTAAGGATGTCTTAGAAAAAGAGCAGAATTCCCACAGAGACACACACAAGGGGAAGGGGCCCTGTGAGAACCCATCTGCAAACTAAGCAACAGCCAGGATCGCCAGCGGACACCAGGAGAGAGCCCTGCAGACAGAATCCTCAGGGCAGCGTGTGGACTTGCAGCTTCCACAACTGTGAGAAAATAAAGTCATGTTCTGTGAAAGCACCTCGTGGGGTATTTTGTTACGGTGTCATAGCGGCTCTTGATAACTAAGACAAACCCCCTGCCCAAGTATTCCCTCCTGACTGCTGGGTCCCCACATCTCTGGTACATCCACAGGCTCCCCCACTTCCTGTGCATGCTGGTCCCTGAGAACACACTGCCCCGCAGCCCTAAATGAGTGCGATTCACACTTATGCACCCCACTCCAGCTCCCTGTCCTCCCCTCCTTCCAAGGCTGTACCCTGTAGTGGGGTGTCCTACCCCCGCCATGGTCGTCTTCTGCTTATCCCCTCCTGACCACTGCCCATCCTCACAAGAACACCTTGGCACCCAGTCTCCAGACACCTCCCTCCCGCCCTCACTCACTCTTGCTGTCCTTGGTGACCATACCACCTTTGGAAAAAACAAAAATACTATCTGCTGTCCCAGGGCTACTTAGGGCCAGCAACATGACCTAGGACCTGCCCCAGAAGTCCCATCATGGGCCAACAGAGAGAGCTTCTCTACCAGGACTTCTGCCACTTAGCAGCCACTCCCCAAGTCCCCTACCTCCTGTGTCCAGACAGCCAAACCTACAATGTCATGAACTGCCCAGTGCCAACCTGTCCACCCTCTGGTCACAATGGCCTCCTTAAGACCCCAGCCAGGCCCTGACAGCCCGCCACTTGCCCCTTGTGCCTCTCACCTGAAATCCCTCCAGGCAGGCTCTCCCGACCCTCTCCCGACCCTCTCCCGACCCAGCGAGTCTAGCGAACTCAGCTGTGCTCACTCAACAGGGTTCTGTTGATGTCACTGCTGCATGTGGTGACAGCAGCCCCCATGCCTCAGTGCCACCTCTGCAGTGTCCTCAACCCTGATGCCCAGGAGGCTCAGCTTCTGAAGTCCTACCACTTGGTGTGAGGCTTCTGACGCCACCTACCACTGGTCAGATAAGATTGCAACCTTCCCTGATAGAGGAAGAGGAAGGGCTGGCCTGGAGGTGACTGGTCCCCAACTGTGGCTTTGAAGACCTCTCAAAGAACCAGTGGGCTAGAACCACCGATGCTTCGGTGTGGCTCTCTGCCCTGGATGCTCCGCAGGGCCGCCCACCAGCCCTGGAGAAGTCCTACACTTCCTGAGTTTTCCCTCCAGGAGCCTCACCAGGGTCTCCCTGTGAAGCTTGCCCCTTCGGCTCCTGAGGGAAAACAGGACATAACCATTGGAAGGTTAACAGACGTGACCACTGGGAACAGCTGAAGCAGTGGAACAGCCCCCCCTTAACAAAGCCTGCTTTACCTGAACCCAATCAAGGTAGGTTCTTTCAGGGCCTAGGAAAGTCTGGCAATCGACTTCCAAAATTCAACCGCTGGAAACTCTGTGGGTCAGAACAGTCCGGTCCATAAGCAATCATGGGGATGGTGCAGACTGGGCAGTGTTTCCGTCCATGGACACAGACTCCCCGTGAGTGGGGGCTGCTGGGACAACAACAGCCAGCAACATGGAGGAAGGGGGACGCTCAGTGCCAGCCCCCTCCAGCTTTCCACAGTGGAAGGGAAACCCCCCCCCCAGCTTCCTGTCTCACCTTAGGGCTGAAAAACAGCTGAGCCGCTCTTGGGAAGGTCCCAGCCCAGGGCCACCAAACCAAAACCAAACTCACTACCATCAAGTCGGATCCAACTCATAGTGACCCCTCCTTGGGTTTCTGAGGTGGTATCACTATGGAAGTAGATTGGCCAACCTTCCTTCTGAGGAGTGGCTGGTGGGTTTGAACTGCCAACCTGCTGGTTAGCAGTCAAATGCCTTAGGCATTACGCTACCAAAAGACTGAGAGCCAATTGCAGGATTGTAGACTGCCCCTACACACTTACAACATCAACATCAACAGGACTTTACAGGGGGCCACAGCCAGAAGAACCACGGTTCCTCTCACCCAACACAGCATGTCTTGTTTCAACAAAAATGACAAGGCTACAAACAGCAGGAGAGTCTGAGGCAACAGGACAGACATCAGAACCAGACTCAGACAGATGGAGGTGTTGGAATTACCAGACCAGGGATTAACATTTTAAAAAAGCCATAGGACGGCAGAGAGAGGAAACAAGAAAACCTGTTGGACATATACCAAAAACCAAGCCCTCTGGCATCAAGTCAATTCTAACTCATAGCAACCCTGTCAGACAGAACAGAACTGTCCTTTAGGGTAGTTTGGTCTTCATGGATGCAAAGCCCAGACCACACTCATTGCCTAGAGTCAATTCTGACTCACAGCGTCCCTAGAGGACAAGAGTGGAACTGCCCACAGGCTTTCCCAAGCTGTAATCTTTCCTGAAGCAGACTGCCCCATCTTTCTTCTCTGGAGCAGCTGGTGGGTTCAAGCCACTGACCTTTTGGGTAGCAGCCAAGTGCTTAACCATTATGCCCCCAGCATTCCTTGTTGGGCACACAGCAACAAAAATTGAAGGGAAAGGATTAAGCGTTGATGCATCCAACATGACCTGTCTTCCAGGATATCCAAAGATCCCAGGGAAGGAGGAAGGTCCTCTCGAGAAGAATTCCCTCTTCCTCTCCCTCCCTCTCTCTCTCTTTCCTTCATGCTGACAGTGAATTGGGAACCAAAGTGTGTCTATCACTCAAGAGAGGTAAGAAGTCCAGTGCACCTGGTCAGCTCTGCCACAAGGCCAGTACAGAACAGGGATCATGGGACCAACAGAGGACTGTGCCGTGCATGGGGACAGGAGCTGGCAGGGGTTTGGGGTCACAGGCAACAGCTCAGAGGGAGAGGCCCTGCCTGAAGTTGAGCTGCAGAGGCAGGGGGCCTGAAGTCCAGGGGCTGGGAGGACAGGCGAGAAGGGAGCAAAGAGAGCCAGTGCCTGAGAGGCTGGGCTGAGGTGTGTCTGCAAAGCACAGGGCAGGCTCCCACTCAATGCACAAGTCAGCCTGGACAAGCAGCTCCCGGGGTGTTGGACACCACTGCCGTGAGCAGAACCCCTACCACCACTGCCTTCCCAGCTGGTCCTTCAGTGGGCAAAGCCCACCCCACATAGAGGAAGCCAGCCAGAGTGGCAGCACTCCACTCCTTGTGTGTTTCCTCCGAAACAGACAAGCTTCGGGGAACTTGTTTGGATCCTAGGGCAGTGTTCCCACGGCGCATCTTTTAGGGCCCATAGAACAGTAAAGTTGAAACACAGCTGTCCTTTCCCAACACTGAGCAAGATGACAAGAGGAATCCCCCTCCCCGCCACAAGTGGGCACCAGATCAAGGGCCCACCCAGGAGCCCTAGCACCCCGAACCCCGCTCACCAGGGCCAGTCTGTTGTCCGTGCTCCGCTTGTGCTCATAGGTCAGGTCACACACCATACACAGGGCATTGCCCAAGCCCTTGGTCAGGGGCAGGTTGGGGTCAGCTCCGTGAGCCAGAAGTTCCCTCATGATCTGGACAACAGACAGGCTGGTTGGCACCATTGGATCTCCTTCCTTACACGGGGAAGGTCCCGAGTCAGGCCTCGCCGTTACTGACCCCAGTGGTGGCCGCCGCCTGGCTGCCTTGCTGACACACCATCTGGGCACTTCCCACGGCCTCCTCTCCTGACCCCATGACACCCCACAGGTCCCATGCCACCCTGCCCCCCAGAGGAGCACACTGGGCTGGTTCTTGGCAGAGGGGTGAGGTTGTGATCTACTGCCATGAGGGAGCACCTTCCCAGCCAGACTCACACCTACCCCACTCACTCCCTCTCTACACCCCTTCCCCTCACTAAAGAGCTCCATCCACACTGGAAAGGCCACTTCTCACCCCTTACACCAAAGCATGATCTGATTCAACCTCAGATGTGGGGGCGGGCAGGCACTGAAGACAGAAACACGCCAGGTGCAGGGCGGATAGGTGCAAAATGTGCTCACCAGGTCATTACCACAGACGATGGACAGGGAGAGTGGAGAGTGGCCACTCCACAGCATGTTGGGATTTGCTTGGTGGGAGAGCAGGAGTCGGACTATGTCCCTGGCACACTGGGTGGGAAGGGAAGAGGCATAACAGGTTAGAGAGGCATTCTCACTCCCAAGAAGCACTTGACCTTGACACTCACTTAAATGCAATCACAAAATCAACTTAGTTGGTGATTGCTATTTCTCCACTCAAGCAGCTCCTGACACAAATAAACTGTTCTAAATATTGATGGATTGATGGATGGGTAGATGAATGGATGGATGGATGGATGGATGGATGCGTGGGTGGATGGATGGATGGATGCGTGAGTGGATGAGTGGGTAAATAGGTGGATGGATGGATTGAGGAATCTACTGATGGACAGATAGATTGGTGATAGGAGAATGGATGGATGAATGGATGGATGGTTGGATGGATGGGTGACAGGTGAATAGATGGATGGATTAATGGATAGATAGGTGGATGGGTTATAGGAAAATGGATGGGTGGATGAGTAGATGGGTGGATAGATGGATGGACGGATGGATGGGTGGATGGATGGATGGGTAGGTGGATGGTTGGGTAAGTGGGTGGATGGATGGTTGGATGGAGGGGTGGGTAGGTGGATGTATGGATGGAGGGGTGGGTGGGTGGATGGAGAGGTAGGTGGATGGGTGGGTAAGTGGGTGGATGGATGGTTGGATGGAGGGGTGGGTAGGTGGATGTATGGATGGAGGGGTGGGTGGGTGGATGGAGAGGTAGGTGGATGGGTGGGTAAGTGGTTGGATGAATGGATGGATGGATGGATGGATGGGTGGGTGGGTGGATGGTTGGATGGGTGGGTGATAGGTGAATGGTTGGGTGGCTATGTGGATGGGTGGATGGATGCAACCTCAAACTGAGAAGATAAAATGTTTTCTAAGCACACATCATTTCCAGATGGAAAATAGGAAAGGTAATTGATGCACAGAATGATTTAAAGCTTGTTTTCAAAGAACACGGGACAGTCAGAACATGACTATAGTAGCAACATGTGGCTAGAGGGAGGTCCACTCCCCAGGGCTCAGTGGTCACACAGGACAACCAGAGCATGAGCGATCTTACAGGGGACGCCCCCCCCCCGCCCTCTGGGGAGGAGCACTTTCTGGGCAGGAAGGACAACCCCTTTGTGCCTCTCCACCGGCCACCTTCTCCCCCAGGCAAGGGTCCCCGAGGCTCTGGCACCACAAGCTGCCCTACTCCCCTCTCGCCCACCCGCTCCCCATTCTCACCCCCAACCCCCCAGCCAAGTTGCACTTCCTGAAGAAACAGGGCCCTGGGAGCTGCTTGGGCACAGCTCACCTTGCTGTTGTCCCCACCTGCAGCCCGCTCACCTTGTCCTCCCCTCCACCTGCCACCTGCTCACCTTGGCGTCGTCCTCACGCTCACAGGCCACATGCAGTGCAGTCCGCCCACCCTCGGGGGCTGGGGTGCTCTGGGTGTAGTAGGTGCTGGGCGGACCTGGCTCATTGTTGAGCTTCAGGCTTGAGGGCGATAGCTGCTCCACCTGCGCAAACAGGGGTCAGCCCACCCCCACATGACCTGCAGGGCCGTCCCATCCCCCTTGCTGTCCCCATGCTGCCATCTCGGTAGCTTGCTGTGCCCCCCAAGGGTAATGTTTGGGCCTTGTGTGCGGTGCCCCAGTGCAGTGTCCGTGGTGAACCAGCATCCTCCCTTGTCCTCCACGTGCTTGCACACCTGTGCACCCCCGTGCACCCCCATGCACACAAGTGCCCATGAGTCCCTGTCCGTGTGGGGCTGCCCCAAGCCCTGAGGAGACACAACGACCAAGATGCAGCCTGGCGACCATGCTGGGCTCCCCAGGAGCTGCTACTGCTGCACTGTCTTCGGGGGGAGCGGGTCAGGGCAGAGGAGGCTTCGAAGGCGGCCTTGACTCCAGGAGACCAGAGTGCTGTGTGGTCCTGCTGCAGGCTGCGCTGCCCTGCTCCCCACAGCCCCTGGCCACCTCGCCTCTGGGACCACCCCACCCCACTTCTCTCCTCGGACCCTGACACTGAGCTTAGCTGCCTGAAAAATGGGTTCCTAACTCGCTCATTGAAATCCATTATTTCTGCCTCTTGCCATCAAACAAGCTGCCTGCCAGGCAGGAATGACCCTATCTGGGTGCAAGTAAACTCATGGTAACACTTTGCCACAGTGGACCGCTGCTGCTGCCGGTGGCTGGGGAGCGGATTCTGAGCTCCAGTGATGCAATATGTGCGGAGCAGAAACGCCCCACAGGGGTGTCAAGGCCGGGAACTTCTGGGAGCCGCTCACCAGGACTCTCTCCCTCGGCACCTCTGGGTGGATTCAAACCTTCAACCTTTGGGCTAATAGTCCATCACTTAGCCATTCGCATCACCCAGGGACAGACACTTTCATAAAGAGAATTCTGAGGCCCCCAGCAGCCACGCCATGCACACCCCTGCAAGGCCCCGAGGGACACACCTTGTGTGGCCGGTACATCTCGTCCTGGTCGGCTGCCTGGGCATCCACGTCAGTGATGGCATGGAGCAGCAGCTCCGTTACCCGGACGCCTGCCTCCCCAGGAAGGGCGGCGGCAATGTGGAGGGGGGTCAGCGACCGCAGCTGCAGGGAAGATGTGGGAGGGAGTGAGGCTGGTGCTGGAGCCCTGTTGTGGAGGGGACTGTGTCCCCCGAAAGACAGGAGGTCCTGACCCCGAACCTGTGAACAGAACCCTGCTTGGAAATAGGGGTTCACTTTTGTTATGCTAAGGAGGTCACACTGAGAAGGGGGTCCTCACCCTAATCCCTTCTGAGTGGTGTCTTATAAAGGGGAGAATAGATGGAGGAAGACAGGCACCGTGTGAGGGTAGGGGCCGATGCATCCCCAAGCCAGCAGCTAGCAGCAGCTGAAATCGACAAGGGATGCAGACGTTCAGCCCTCCAAACCGGGACAACATAAATGTCTGTCATAAACCTGCCAAGTGTGGCATTTCTGTTACACAGCACTAGGCGACACCTTCCCGTGACAAAGTGACTGGACGCCCACCTTGCGAGGGTGAGAGCACGGAGTGAGCATGGGGGAAGGCAGGTGAGGGCCCTCTCGGGGTCCCCACGTGGCAGGCGTCCTGACCTGAGGTGAGGGGACGGCCACAACTCCCCACAGCCCCCGAGGGCCCCTCCTCTCGCTGCCCCAGGACCCTCAGACCCGAGGTCCATGTGGGTGAACGGAGGTGAGAACAGATGGCCCCATGAGTGAGTGAGCGACCAAATGCCCTTGGCACCAGCCACACGTGCTCCTGCCAGTCTCTGGGAGCCACCGCCCAACAGTTCACTGGCACAGCACTCAGTACAGCTCTCGTCCAGGGCCAGCAGCCTATGTCCGAGCCACCGGGTTCCTTTATCTGAGCATTGTCCCTGTGTCTAAGCCATCACCCCAGGGGTCCCCCAAGAGAAGCCCCAGCCAGAGTGACTAAGTGGGTGCCCCACACAGAGACAGCACAGGGGACCAGCCATATCCCTCAGTGTTTCCCTCTCTGCCTTGTTTCCGTTTGTAAACCAGATGGATTACCCGCTCAGCCATTTTAATAAGGCAAAGCTTCTCTTTGGACATGTTCTTGTTGCTAGGTGCCATGGATTCCAACTCACAGTGACCCTGTGTACAACAGAATGAAACACTGCCTGGTCCACACCATCGCATGACCATCGCCATGTGTCCTGGTTCTCTGTTGCTGCTGTAATAGACCCACCACCGGTGGAGGCGTCAACAAACAGGAATTTGTTCTCTTTCATTTTAGGAGGTTAGAAGTCTGGATTCAGAGTGCTGGCTCTAGGGGCTGGTGAAGGTCCCTTGACCTTGGACTTCAGCTCTGCCTCTTGTTCCAGGCCCACTGGAGCTGGAGGCTTCTTCTCACTCATACAGCTACTGGCTGCTGAGGCTGAGGAACCCAAGATTAGCAAACAACACAGCAGGCTACTGGTTCAAGTCCAGGAACCAGAGATGAAGCCTCAACCAAATGCAGCACCCAAATGTGCCAAAAAGCTCAAGATCTTTCCCAAACCTTCTCCATACACTGAATGGGGGCCACAGCCCAAAACAGCTGATCAGCGGCCCACAGCAGATTCCACCATGACGGGT